TATTACAATAATGCCCGGAATACATCTTATCCTACTTGGTTGTAAGTAGGAACTCAATTTGCTGTATACTGTAAAAGTGACTTGAAATAGAATTTTATTTAGATAAGGCAATCAGGTCTTGTGGTAAGAAAAGTTTGAGGGCCATTTGCTCTGAGCATTAGTTGTAAATATGTTGTTTACTATAGTACAGCAGTGGAGAGGACTGTATGACAGAATCACAGGATGGGTAAGGTTGGAAGGGACTGCTGGAGGTCATCTAGTCTGACATTCCCTGCTCAAACGGGGTCTCCTAGAGATCATGGTACTCAGGATTGTAACCAGAGACAGCTTTTAAATACTTCCAAGGAGGGAGACTCGAATGGTCACTAAATGAAAGATGCTGTAAAGGTGTTCTACAACTAACTGAAAGAAGGTTTGTAGTGAGGTGGGAGTTGGTTTCTCCTCCCAAATAACATAGAATAGGACAAGAGGAAATGGCCTCAAGTTGTGCCAAGGAAGGTTTAGATTGGATATTAGGAAAAAATTCTTCACCTAAATGGTTATTGAGCATGGAAACAGGCTGCCCAGGGAAGTGGTTGAGTCACCATTCCTGGAGGTATTTAAAAGACATGTAGATCTGTCAAATTAGGGACATGGTTTTGTGATTGACTTGGCAGTGCTGGGTTAACATCTGAACTTGGTGATCTTAAAGGTCCTTACCAACATAAATGATTCTATGATATATTTATCTATATATGTAGACAAAAAAAGTTTATTACTGCCATTTTGACTTTTATTGTTATTGCTATTGTACAGCAGTTAAAATGAAGCACGTAAAAAGCTTGTGACTTTGGACAAATCACTCTGTAAATCAGTGGCAGTGAAGAGCAAGGAAGGCAATCCTGTAGCTTCAGTTTAGCAAGTTTCATCCTACTTTTACAAGTCTGAAGTAGTGTTATTTGTAGAAACAAAAAGGGATGCCATTCCTAGGGTCCAAGGATGACTTATCAGACAAGGTATTTCAGGCAGGCTGTTGCTCAGCTGCTGAAGAGTAGTCATGCGATGAGGCATGTTGCATGTCTGCACAACTCACCAGCCACATTTCAGCAGTGTCCTCCTTTGCAATGTACTGTGGCATACCCATCTTCAGCATAACATGATACCTAACCTAACATATAATTTGCAAATCAGCAAAGCAGAACCTCATTATTCCCACAAATTCAGTTAAAATCCTCGAAGACACTAAGAAGAAGTAAACCATGCCAAGGAAAGCTATTTAAGTTATATTTTAAAAAGTCACAAAAACGTAGTGCGTGATGAGGGGAAGACAACTATTCACCCTCAGAATATAATAGCAAAATCTTCATCCAAAACAGTATGCTGGAAAGTATTCCTAACCTGACTGTGCGGGAATTGCATGCCAGGAGTTTATTGCCCCAGACATTTACTGAAATTAATTACATATTTTTTTATGCAAACTATGTAAATTAATTGATAAAAGCCTCTGGAAAAATCTAAATATGCATCTGCATATGTATTGAACTTATAGTTCAATAAAATGATTTTTGACAGAATTAGTTTTAGTGACAGACATGTTGGGTATCTGTTAAGCACTTTTTGCTTCTTTAGTATTTGTAAGCAATCAGTGAAATGCAACCACTCAAGGCTGAAAATGAAATTCAATCTGAGATTCATTCAAACAGCAGGAGTTCTCCACAGATGCTTATTACTACGTTACACATAACCATAATAGCTGAGCACCATCAGCTATGACTTGTGATGTGAATAAATTCTGTCATTTGTGGTTCCCACTCTTCTGTGCTTTCCCCAAAAGGGACATTTTTTGTGCAGTCTTTTTTGTTGCTTCTTTTATTTGCACACATAATATATCTATCTATCTATCTAAATACATTACATTCCCTCACTGGGGAAGTATGCACACATGAGTGTGCACTTCTCCCTCTTTTCTCTGTCCCATCCCCCTCATCTGTGTTTTATTGAGGGAAAAGGTGTTGCATGGGAAGGAAGGGGGAATGTTTGCAATGACTGGGTGGTTTGACCTGCTTTGTAGAAATAGCTTCTGCACAGGTGGCTGTCGTCTTTTTGGAAGTGAGTTTCACTGCATGAGAGATTGACTGCTCACTGCTTTCCTTAGACCATTCTTACAACCTTCTTGTACCAAGCCATTTGAACATTCTGAAAGCAAAGTCTGAGACTTTCAAACTCAGGATGCCTTGAGCTTCAATTTGTAACTCCTGAATTTCAGTGCAACTTTCTCAGTGTATTGAGATTAAAACCTGCATTAATTATCCCACTCACAGTAATCATCCAGCTGGAGTCATGTACGAGTCAGGTTTTCACATATTGCTGGGAGTAAACCAGAGCTTACTTTTCATTTTGACTAATTTTCCTCAAGCCAGGCAGGTTGGGTTGACTACCAGAGTTGTGCAGCACTTTGCTTTTATATGAAACCCATGTTTTGCTTCCAAGGAAAGAGTGTGGACCGTAGGGTTTTGGCTTGAAATGACAAGTCCGTTGATGGTCCCCTTTCCATTTGACTCCTTATAGGAACTAGAATAGTCTTTGGCAGGCAGTGCATGAGAGCCTTAATTTGTTACAGCTATCATAGATATGTGCATTGCTTTCTTTTCTGTTCTGCCTGGTTTCCTGTGGAAATAAGGCTTTTTCTGTCATGCTCTTTATCTGCCAGCCTGTCCAAACCTATCCTATTTACTTTTTTAATTCGTTGCCCAATTTCAGTCCTATTTAACATTGAGGCAGATGCCTTAATGATTTTGAGGTTCTACCACTGTAATGAATGTTGGCAGCCTGATGGAGGAGAGAGATTTAATTAATGCTGTTCTGATGTGTGTGCTCAGCTTTTTCTAGGTATGAGGCTTTATTAGCTCTGTCATGAATGAAATTCCTGTTTTTATATTGTTTGAGCGTTATTTCAGCACCTTTAATTGGTGGCTTTGCTTCTGTGGTTTATCTTGCAATCACGCATTAGAGCCCTAATTAGGGTTCAAATGACACTGAGCATGACAATGTTTAGTATGGGAGCTGATACTACCAAGTATCAATGTTACTAACTCTGGCAGATAATAGAACTCCATAAGAACAAAAACCTCTTTTTTCACCACTCCTCCTGACCTCAACTCCTTAGCTGTTCTCATCTTATGGGGAGGCCAGCCTGCTGCCTGGGGTCTCCATCCTGAAGCAAATTTTGCAGCACTTTGGGCTGCCGATGCTTTTCCATGCCAGGATTTCTCTGTGAATCATGCAGCCCTCACCTTCATCAGCTTCTCTTCTGGGACCTAGGGTTCCCACCTGACCTTCCATGCAGGAACATTGCTCTGTCTCGCTCCATTGCTGCAGATTAGCATGCGTGCTATGGATGAAGGGGCGACGTGGGGAACAGTTCACTTCCCCTACTGCTTCCCAAGAGAGATTGTCCATGTAGTACCATGGTAGGAGGGAGCAATGGAGATAAGACAAACTAGTCTAACCATCCCATTTAACCTGTGGCATAGTTCTATCCATTTACACGAGGAAGCCAGTTTGACTTGCATATTTTAGGTATTTCCTCACTTACATGATAATCTCTTACTTTTTTCATCTTTCACATTCTGTAAAACTGTGGAGTGTGTTTTGCCATCTGGACAACAAAATAACAAAGAAAGATTATTGACTTGAAAGTCCAAAGAGTATCTGGATTTGAGCAGTCTAAAACAGTCAAACCCTTATACAGGGAATAAGCAATAGATGCATACATTGTTTTCAAGTTTTAAATTTATAAAAGGCATATATCGGGATTATGCTTAAATATGACGCATGTGCAAGATCAAATATTGTATGCTTTAGATCACTGCCTTAATTGTTTTTTAGACTTGACGTTTAGAATTTATCTGTCAGAATTTTATAAAATAGGCTGTTTTTATTTTGAGTTATGAATCTGAGACGGAAGTGGCAAATAAGATGTATAGCCCAGTAATGTGATCCTTTTTAATATTCCAGGCTTGGCTCATAATGATGTCTATAGATTATCTTGGTTGAGTTCCTGAATAAGTATGCAATAAGTGTATTCCTTTTTTTCCTGTAGCAAGACATTTAAGCATTAATTTAAGTGTAAGTCAGTATGTCATGACTGTGTCTTCCTACATCTTAGTCTGTGTTTTGTGGTACCTTTAAATTTTGTTTAGACCTCTGTGTTACTCTAGTCTTAAAAGCGGTTTTTATTAGCAATTGAAAATAGTAAGATAGTCACCACTAATTCTGAGAAACTGCAAGAATGAATGTAAGCATGCTGTTTTATAACCTTTTATTTTACATGTTTTTCATTAATTCTAATTTTTTCTTCTCTTAGAGTATATCCTAGTTGTACATACCAGAAAACGTGTGATGAATTTGCAGGCTTGTCTGCTTACACAACTCTTCCTTTCTGCATGCTTTTTTATTACTGTTATCACAGAATATATTGCCTCATATGTAAATATCAAAAGCACTGTAAAATGGAAAATAGCAAAGTACTTAATACCATGCATACACGATTTATTTTATTTTAGTTTTTTTTTAATAAGTGAGCCTTTCTGCTGGAATACAGGAAACTTTATACAGACTGCCTGCAAACACTTTCACAGTCAGTAGTTGTCTTAGTATTGGTCCTAACTAGAAAAGCACCCAAATCTCTCTGAAATGGTATGTTATTAAATGACACTATGGCTTAGCAGAAATGGAATACCTGTCATAGCAGCCTGGCTCTCCTGAGGGTTGTCTCTCTGGACCAGAGTAAATTTTGCCCTGGTTTGCGACTCGGAGAGTTTAAATGGGTTGCACATGGGTGACTCCAGGGAACGCAGGAGTTTTTGCTTCCCCGTTCTAAATTTAGAATATGCGTTTCTGACATTTACTTCACATCTGCAAAAGTTATTTGAAGATTATAACATGAATATGTGGAAAGAGGAGAAAGATTTGCCATTGAAATCTTGTTTACATTTTTGTTCTTTTGCTTTTTATTCCAGTGAGATGAAGCAGAAGTTGGATGAAGAGGGTAACAAGTGCAGCATCCTTTCCAAGCAGCAGAAGTTCAACGAGCACTGCTGTATTCGCTGCTGCTCCCCTTTCACATTTCTTATCAACAGCAAGCGACAGTGCCAAGACTGCAAGTACAACATCTGCAAGAACTGCAGTACTTACCAGAAGAAGGAGAAGGCTTGGATTTGCAGCGTCTGTCAGCAAGCAAGGTAAAGACTGTTCAGCAACCTATGCAAAGCAACTGTGGCCTGACCAGATCTTTTCCTTTTATTTGTCAGTAGTTAACTCTGGTGGGATAGGACGTGAAGTACCTGTTTATGTAGGAGTTGATTTGTTCCTGAGGTGTGACATGCCTGGTTTTTGTAGAGGTTAATTTGTTCTGAGAGTGTTTGGTCACGTGTTGCATTTTCCAGGCTTGCTTAGCTGGACTGATGTATCAGCAAGCAGTAATTGGACATAGCTTGTGCAGGACCAGGCTCTCCTGAAACACCTGGGTTACTAATGGAACCTGAGCACAGATGGTGGTAAAGCAATTAATCATTTTGCAGCAAATCCCTTTGATGGGTGGGGAATGGAAAGAAGAATATTGGTGAATAGATCATCCAGCTGTGGCTGTTTTGGAGTGCTTTTCTAAATGCCAGCTTATTGGTGGGTATGCTTTGAGCTTACTTTGGCAAGTACCCAGAGAAAATAGCAGTGCAACATCTGTTAAGAATATGCTGCCAGGCTTCTATTTGCAGAGAGTATCAGGGATTCACTCTCTCACCCTTCTGAGGGTAACAGAGCCACCACATTTAAAGATAGCATCAGAAAAACAAAGCAAATTCAAGCAAATGTTTTACAGCAGCAAAGAGGCCGTTCCTTGGATGGCGACTGTGATAGTCCTTGTCTGCACTGCAGGCCAAGTTCCAAGAGCAGCCCTGTCTGTGACGATGTAGCACTGACCAAGGCCTTTTAACTCAGACAAGAAGGGTGAATGAAGTGACTCAATTCCTTATGGTTTAATTTTGAACATTGGTAACTAAAGCAACTGAGCAAATGTGATGAAGATGGCTGTTTATTCTTCATCTTTCCCTTTAGTGGAGAACACAGGATGAGGACAAGAGCAAAGTCCCTTTGCAATGCTATATGATATTCCTGTGCTCAGCAAAGATTCATTGCTCCCTCCTTATGTTTCCCATAAATATCCACTTGAAATTTAAGCTTTCTTATAATATCTGTGAATGAAGTGGGTGCCCTTTGACACAGGGCCTTAAAATCATAGGGATCCCAGACAGATAATGCCACGTTTCCAAATGCTAAAGTGTTTGAAGGCAAAGGTGGTTGAATTCTCCTGGGCACCTGATTCTTCTCTGACTTTTACTCTGGAAAACCTACAGACACTCCTTTTCCCCCAGTAAGGAGGCAGGTGAATGATAAGAATATCTTTTCCAGCAACTCAGAGAGATGTGGAGCCAGTGCTTGTTTCTACTTTAGTCATGCAACCATTTCATATTACACCTCTGTCTTCCATTTATCCTGAGTTCACCCATATAGGCAACAGCACAGGCAGCCAGGTTTTTGGATGCTGATGAACTGCACTTAAAATAGCTTTTGCTGACTCCACACAAAAAAAAAGTCTCAAAAAAATTTAATTTCAGAAGAAAAATTTGTAGCTGTATGATAAAGATGCTATTTCTGACCCTTAAAGTTGGTTACCCTCCTGTAAATAAGTTATAAACATTTTCTTTATTTATGAGACCTGAGACACAGCTTGAAGTTACTTTTCAGTGAATAAATTTCAGTGAATATATTAACTAACACTGCTGCTAATCATTTTATGTTCTGGTTTATTGGACTAATAACATTTAGCAGAGAGCAAATATTCAGGTCAGCATTTGAAAAATAGAACATCTGTAGAAAATTGGCCAAAAAGTTAGTATCTGCTTCTTCCAAAGGCAGAAAATTCACTAATAAGCCAAGAAAAATTTAGGTATTTGAACTCCTTTAAAGCATATCTGCTTCACAATGCATCTTTTAAAAGTTAGAAATTTGCCTTGGTATAGAATCTCAGGCTCAAAAATCTCTTTACAGCAATGTCTGTATTGATCTGGTGAGGAACTGGAGAACCTTCCTTCAATTTCCCAGTTTTCCAGATTTAGCACACTTTCCACTAGTGCATTTTGATTTAGATTTATCTCTGGATACATTATTAATGTTCTAGGGCTTTTTCTCTCATGCATATCTTCCTAATCTGTAGGTATGTTATGATAAAATTATATGTTTCTAATTTCAAGTTTTCGATTTGTGTATAGAGCATTTCTGATTATTCCAAACTTTTGTACAATGTCTCCTTGTTAGACACCCTTCAGACAATGTATTTAGGCAGCTTGCTGAGGTCTGTACTTCTTAAGTCTTCTTGGCTAAGAAGATTCCAGGCAGTTTCTCTGCCCTCTGGATTAATGCTTTTGATGCGAGACAGAGAGGTTCTTTGCTCATTTAGTAGAGATAGGGAGTGCTTTCCATGTGTTTGAGACCACTTTCCATTCTTCAAGGAGCTGTACATTTTTGCAGGTTTTCTAAACCAATCACACTTTACTTTGGGACAGTAGGATGAGTATGTAGATTCCAATCCAAAATAAGGTACACAAACATCTGGCTGTGGACCTCAGCTTTTCGTGACTATCGTTCATGAGTCCCCCTGCATTCTTGGTTCCCTTCTTCTGATCTCCCCGTTTGCATATCAAAAGATTTGTGTCTCTGTTGTGAGCGGGAGCATGGACACCCAATCCTTCATGTCTTCACATCCACCTGTTGAGTGATTTTCTCACTTGTTCTCAAAATTCTCACTCAGGTGATGAAAGGTCATTACTTAGTGGCCTCTTGCTTAGCTTCCTGGAGCCAGGCTGTGGCTACGAGGACATCACCTGATCTGCAGGAAGTCATTATTCTGCTTTATAAGAGCTGTTTTGTTGTTAATAGTCTTTTGCTGGTGACAGTTATTAGGAGATGGAGACCCAGTCACTGCTCCTTTTCTTCTTTATGTCATTAACTAATGAGAAACACAGTCATGCTGCTTACATTCAGACTTAGTGGAAAGTAGTGTTCTGAGTGGCTCAAAATGGGTCCCAAAAATGTCACACTGGTTGTTTGCAACACAGATTTATTGGAATGTTTAAGAGAACTGCTCTTTTCTTTTGTTTTCATACTTCCAATTTTTCTGCTGCTTTAAAATTAAAAAAATCAAGACAATAACAATTACCTTCGTCAACTCTTCAATACGGAGTTATTGATTAATGTTGATTACATTTTCTTTTGAGCTTGGTGTGGTGCCCAGTTGAATTGTAGGATTCTAACTAGAATCTAACAATTTGCATCAGTAGTAAATGTAGTTGTTTTACTGGAACTTGAAAATTAATTAGGTTAGTTTGATATGCATTAGGGCTTCTTAATGCACATTAGAGTGAGACTTAAGAAAATCTATTAAGGTTAGTCTACCTGCAGTGTCCAGTACATTTGTCTGCAACTAGCATGTATTGGGATTAATGGTAATGTAAAAATGAAGCAATGCTTCTGATAAAATGAAAATTGCAACAGGAAATAAAAGTCTAGGCTCATTTAGCAGGCAGAACACTTCTCAAATCGAAAGGAGCTTTGCCAACCTGAGGAACAGTCCTTAATAAAAGCTTTATACTTCACATGGTTTAATTTGGAGGGCCCTGTAAAATGCTGTAATGTGCTTTAATGTCAGCAGAACAGAGCAGGTATTTGTGGAAGCATGATAAAGTTGATGGTAGATGGCATTTTAGCCTGCCAAAGGATACATCTCTTCTACTTAGCTGATGCAAGTTTTAGTGTAAAACTTGCTACAGTCTCTAAAGCGGAAAAGAAAAAAAATCATCAAAATTTGACAAAACCTTGTGATAGTACTTGAGAAAAACTAATACTCCTAGTTAATAACTAAACCTTGTATTTGATTGTTGATGCATTCGGCTGTAACATAACAGTCGATTTCAGGACTTAGTTGGGGAAAGCTAATGAAGATTTAATGCTGCTTAGCAACCTTGTTTTCCTTTCAAGCAGGCTAAACCATCTGGTAAAAGGAAACTGAAATATATTTTAGGTAGTCTGCCTCAGCCATTGCTTGGAGCTTTGTGTATAGTTTTGTGACAGTTGCTATTTCTGCTGTTTGAGGTCCCTGTCTGACATTAGAGAGAACTTCTGCAGAACTTGGAAGCTGTGACTTTGTCACGTAAATGCCAAGAAATGTGTTTTTTCTTCCGAGATCATAGAATTGTACAGGAACATTCACTAGTTCTGCCTTGTGCATGTTGTCTTCATTGGACACATATGGATCTTGTTCTACTTTTTTAAAAGTCCTCTGAATGATCCTATTCATATTGTACTTAAGGGATTTACTAATTTTAAGTAAATTGCAGTGAAAATTATTTTTCTCAGCTGTATGTACCTGTAGAAATTGATGCAATTCCTTCCAAAAATGCCTGCTGCTCTATTCAAATTTTCTTCCTCCTCTTTCTACTACCACTGTCTCTCTGTTTTGTATCCTGTCTCTTGATCTCCTTACTCCTTACCATGCTTTAGCATTGCAGTGGATCATAGACTCCATATCCTTTTGCTCACTGTACCCACGAAGAGCGAGGGCAAGAGCTTGGATTTTGTACAAGAGCCAAGAGCAGTCTTTGGTTTATTCAGTTGTTCTCTAACTGGAGGAGAAGAGAGAGGAATGTGCAAACTGGTTGCTTTGACAGGTTGATCTCTGCTGGTTTTTTTGCTATACTGATCTGTGTTAATTATTTTGAAGTATGCACTGTGAAGAATTTAATTTCTGCTAGACAGAATAAAGCCGAACTTGCATAACATACAGCAGACTGCAATGCTGCACTGAGCTTTAAGAAAAGTATCTAAAAATGGAATCGAAGAGGAGAGTAGGAAAGAGAGGTCTATTAAAACAGCTAAATACGAGTGCTAATTAAGCGATCTCTTCTAGCTTTAAGTAGCCTTGAAAGTGAATGTGTGTCTGAGTGCCTGGAGGACTAATCAGTGTTTTAGAAGTACTGAATTCGAGTTTTAGCTGTCGAGTGACCTTGGGATAGTTTCTATGTATCAAGTTTCCCCAAGTGCAGAACGGATTTGATGATGCTGATGTCTTGGAAGTTGGTGGTTGAAAAGTTACATGCTATGGCTGTAAAGTGCTAAGTATTATTAATGT